TGTTGAGGACCCACACTTATTGTCGAATGTAGCCGTGTTATAGGAGCAAGGTGCTTTTGTTTGGGCTGTGTTGGCAATGTTCTTGGCATCGCTGTGCGGAGCCAGGAGGCACCTCTTTCATCTTCCACCTCCCATTCGTCATCCCTGCGTTCACCCATCCGCGTGCCCCTCTCCGCCCTTCCCTTGTCCACCCCACCACCCCAGCCACCATCCCTTGTCTCTACACTCCACATGCTCCAGATTTTCCTCCTTCCCTCCTTCATCCCCACTTAGGCCCACCTATCTCCCCCTCCTGCCATCGAGTCGCTTGTGTGTTTATGCTCAAGTTTCTCAACTCCTCACGTTTTTCAACCCCTCCTCGTCGCATCTCTTGTGCTCTCCTCATCCCAGCTCCAAACACGTGTGAATGGGATCTGAGCAGTTGAACGGCGCCTTACACTTTGTGGCAGCCGTGTGCTCTGCACTGCATGCTTGCACCTCCCACCCTTCTTTCCCGATTTGCCACTTTGGATTTCCATCCAGTCAGTTTCCCCTATCTCACTGCATTGACTGTAGCATATAAGTGCACACTCTCAAGGATATCAACAGAGCAGTATTCATGCCAACATTTCACCCACTTGTGACCAGAGATCTGTTTAACAATCAGCTTTCCGGGCCCGTCCCAGTTGGGATTGGAAACATCACTAACTTGATAGCAATGTAAGTCGTCAGAGGTAGAAAGCAGCTGAAGATCAAAATTTGTTCCTCCCTCCCTCCTTCATCCGCTCCACCTTTCTCCCCGTCCTACCATCGGCTGGAGCTGCTTCCATTTGCTTCCAGCGGACTTGCCAAGGAATGCTTCCCACCATGCTCGTCTCACCATCCCCTTGGGTCGTTTGTATGTTCATGCTCAAAATTTCTCCACTCCTTACGTTTCCCTTATCCATCCCCTCCCCTCCCCCCCCCCCACACATACACACGCAGTGATTTGTCCTTCAACTCGTTGACTGGCTCCATTCCCGACAGCATCAACTCACTCAATCAGCTATCTGTTCTGTACGAAGTCCACTGGAAGCATGTGTGTGTCAAGAGTGCATTGCGATTGCCCTCAGCATCAACTCCCTTTTCATTGCACCTCTTGTGCTCTCCTCATCCTAGTTCCAAACTAGGCATCAGCATAGGCCTGTCAGACTGCCCGGGCACGGACTGGGCCTAGGTCGGGCCGACCTTGGGAACTCCCGGGCCTGTGCCCGGGTTTAGGGGTCGGGGCGGCCTTGGCCAGGGGGCGGGCCGAGGCCCGCCAGGGGCACGGTCACCCATCCATGTCCCCCTCTCCGCCTTTCCCTTGTCCACCCCACCCCACCCCCCAGGCACCATGCCGATCCCTTTTCTCACTCCTTCCCTCCGCCATCCTCCCTAAGCTCCTCCTTTCTCCCCCTCCTACCATGCGTGAGGAGTCTATTTTTGAGGCGCCAAAAAAAAAAAAAAAAACTCCTCACTAAGCCCCTCCTCTCTCGCCCGTCCTGCCATCGGCTGGTGCTGCTTCCATTTGCTCCAATATCGCCGCGGAACGTTCTCCTCTGTGCGCCAAGCAGTCCTTCCCGCCATGCTTGTGCCACCACCCCCTTGGGTCGCTTGTGTGCGCTTGCTCTCCATCCTGCCATGCACACTTTTCTCATCTCAATTCCTCCAACCCATTCCACACAGGGATCTTGAGGTTAACTCGTTGACTGGCTCCATTCCCAACAGCATCACCTCTCTGGCTCTACTCTCCCATATGTATGAAGCTCACTGTAATCATGTGCCATGATTGCATGGCGATTATTCATGGCACCAACTATTTTCTGACACCATTTCCCAGTCAATGATCTTTGTGACTCCAGAGCTCTTCTCGTCCCAGTTCCAGAGCATGGTTGGATGAGCTCTGAGCGGCTGAATGGAACCTATGGCTTGTAGCAGCCATGCATTTTGCCTCTTCATATTCCCTACATTTTTTACTAACCAGTCAGTTGAACTTCATCAATCTCACTGCACTGTCTTTTGCATACAAGCACACAACTCTCTATTATGGAGATCAGCAGAGCAGTATTCATGCCCACGTTGCACCTTCGTGTGACCAGTGCTCTGGCAGGGAATCAGCTTTCTGGACCCATCCCAGCTGGAATTGGAATCCTCACTAACTTGGCCTCGCTGTAAGTCGCATGAGTTAGGCTGCTGTTCTATTGCCTGTCCATCCCCTTGCACCTTATCTTCTGTTTTGAACATCCTCATCTCATTTCCCCCTTTTTTCCCTCCTGCTATCACAGTGGTTTAGATTCCAACCAGCTCAATGGCTCAATTCCTGCTGGTATCGGCTCGCTTGCCCGGCTGACAAACCTGTAAAACGTCTGCTTCGGTGTGCCCTCCTAGTCCTACTTCTTCCACTGCTCTCCTGGCCACCTCTCTTAGTACTCTCATGTCCCTCCACTGATCCCTCCTTCTTTCTCTCTGCTTCTCTCCTATCTAGTTACCATCACCCTCCCCGTCACATGCACCTCGTGCTAATAGGGATCCATTGCAGTAAGGCAAGGCTGAATGTCAGCAGATGTTCTTGTTGCAAACTTAGAGGCTGCAAGACTCCGGTCATTCCCTCATTGCTCAGATGGAATGTAGCTGTTTGCGACATGGTTATCTAGTGCAAGATCGCACAAGCGCTATGACCTAATAAATCTTCCACAACTTCCACCTGCTAGTTAAAGCCTGCGGTTCATATTCTCTACCGACCAAGGCAATTACCTTTGGTGGGCTGGTCTGAATCGAGGGCGAGAGACAAGGGCAAGGGTTAGTACGACAATTTCGAAAATTGTGGAGGGTCCCACTTTGACGAGGCTTCGTGTCTCGTATTTCAGGGGACCAGTATTACGGTTGGTATGAGCCTACGAAACGTTGAGGGCGTGGATGGTGGGGGTTGGGTTCTCAAAGTTTTGCAAGCAGTTGCGATTCCAGGGTTGGATTTCAGGTCAAAACTTTCTTGTGGGAGACACCTTTGGGTCCTGATTTCGTGTAACCAGCCCAGGTTCCGAAGCCTTGTGTGTATCCTCTCTCCTTGCCTTCTCTTCTTTGGATCACCATGCTTCTTCTCTCCTTTCCTCTACTTTGCTCCTATGTTCGCTTCCGATTTCCGGGATGGTCGAAGTAGGGCTCCCGAAACCCAATAGTCGAACTTGACGTCACACAGTGTTGTTTCAACAATTTAGCGGGCAGCCCAGAAATTATGTCACAGAACCCGTAGGACACCCACCGAACCAACAAAAACTAATTCGCGAATCTCTCGCTAGTCGTTGAGAGGGAATATTATTTTTTTGTGTGGTGTGGTAACTTTCAGTATGCTGGTGGTTTCCATTTTTTTGCTTGCCCGGTCGGAAAACCTCCTACCGTTTTCATTTTGGGCAGACTTGTGCGAGTGAGCATGTCCGAAGTTGGGATTTGCGCCTGGTTTGACATCCACATTTGACGTCGAGCTTTGCAGGTGAGTTGACGTCAGCTATACTTAGCTGGCGTCAACTCTCTACTTCGGACACCCTCTAAGCAGAATACACAGTACACCACCTCCGTGCAGCACCGAGTGCCCAAGACACGCATACAAGGGCTTTGACGATACGCCAAAGACAGACTTCCTTCCACCAAAAGCCTGACTCATGACCACTAGCCCCACCTTAGCATTCCCGTGAATGCCATGCAAGGACCGTCAAATCGCACCGTCGCTAACACCACAGTACCCTGCGATTCCTACCCTTGGGCCACAAAAAAGGTCGCCGAAATCCGTGTCACCAACAGCCCGAGTCCCTGCAGCAGAAACGCGTGCAAAGAGCTCGAGCTGTGCGACAAGGGAGTCGGGGTTAGTAACATGCATGAAAGGTACCCACAGGCCATGCGGTTTCATTACCCAAAGCTGGCTGGAAAACTACAGCATAGGCGGCGAAGCCCAACAATCTCATGTATGCTTCGTGAAACCACCGTAGCATGACGCGTAGAGGAGTTAGAAGTGCATTGGTACCATGCTCGCATCCCCCTCTTCCCCAGTCCCCTCTCGCTTGATCGGCTCGCTGCTGTGGTGCCGTGGGGCACATCCGCCATGCGCCTTCCCCCTCCCACGAGCGCAGTTCTCGCTGCTTCCGTGGAGAAGCGGAGTGGGATGACGCAGTGGGAGAGGAGGGGAGCGGAGGAGGAGAGGAGCGGAGGAACAGAGGAGCGAAAGAGCAGAGGAGCGGAGGAGCAGAGGAGCGGAAGAGCAAAGGAGCGGAGGAGGAGAGGAGCGGAGGAGCAGAGGAGCGGCGGAGCAGAGTGGGATGCCACAGTGGGAGAGGAGAGGAGCGGAGGAGAGGAGCGGCGGAACAGAGGAGCGGAATAGCAGACGAGCGGAGGAGCAGAGGAGCGGAGGAGCAGAGGAGCGGCGGAGGAGAGGAGAGGCAGAGCAGAGGAGCAGAGGAGGAGGGGAGCGGAGGAGCAAAGGATTCGGGGGAGCAGAGGAGTGGAGGGGCAGAGGAGCGGAGTGGGATGATGAAGTGGGAGAGGAGAGGAGCGGAGGAGGAGAGGAGCGGAAGAGCAGAGGAGCGGAGGATCAGAGGAGCGGAGGAGGAGAGGAGCGGAGGAGGAGAGGAGCGGAGGAGGAGAGGAGCGGCGGAGCAGAGGAGCGGAGGAGCAGAGGAGCGGAGGAGGAGAGGAGCGGAGGAGCGGAGGAGCAGAGGAGCAGAGGAGCAGAGGAGCGGAGGCAAGGTGCAAAAAAACGGCGGTTGTTTTAAACGGGCCATTTAATACGATCGTTTTTTACGGCATTTTTGGGGAAAAAACGCCGTTTTTTGTTTGAGGAAACCTATTCTCGACATTGACAAGCACAAGAAACTCCCTGAGACTTCTAGCCGTCAAGGCGCCCACAGATTCGCACTACAATGCAATGACCGAGCTCTAACACCATACGTCTGCCTCTAACTAGCACCTACCCCCCCCCTACTCCTCCTCCCAGTCCTCGGCCTCCTCCTCCCCCTACTCCTCCTCCTACACCTCCACCTACCCTCCTCGTCCTCCTTCTACTCCTCCATTTGGCATCCACTTTCTAATCCTGCTCTTCTTCCTCTTCCTCCTCCTCCTCCCCCTGCTCCTCCTCCTCCACCTCCTCCTCCTCCTCCTCCTCATCCTCCTCCTCCTCCTCCTCCTCCTCCTCCTCCTCCTCCTCCTCCTCCTCCTCCTCCTCCTCCTCCTCCTCCTCCACTTCCTCCTCTTCCTCTTCCTCCTCTTCCTCCTCTTCCTCCTCTTCCTCTTCCGGCTCTTCCTCCTCCTCGGCATGCTTCCCCTTGCCCTTTTTCCCCCGCTGCTCTTCCTAGCTCTCTTCCCTGCCCGGTTCTTCAAAGATCTCTTCTTCTTACGCCCGACCGAGCATCCAAACATGCTCCAATCAATGGCGCACGCCACCGCATCCTGCCCTTCCTCTTGCTCTGCGACCTCGGGTTCCACTGGGGGGCCTTGTGGCATGCTGCAGCCTTCCTTCAGCTTTCCTGAAGCAAGGTCAGCGTACAGCTTGGCACGCGCCACTTGCTGCTGGTCGAATGCTGACCTAGCACACCTGCTGAAGGCGACCGAGGTCACATCGATCATAGTCTTGGCACTGAGGTTGTTACGGTCGCGCCGCTGAACTTGAGCCATGGCCGACCACCATCGCTCGACCTCTGACAACGTGAGCGTCTGTGAGAGAATTCTTACAGCCACCTCCTGCAGGTGTCGTACCTCCCTGCTGTAGATCAGCCACCACTCTGCCTCTGTCATCCTACCACTCTCCACCAGTGTGGATGCAGCCCACCTTGCGTCCTTCCCCCCCAGTTTCCCCGCCCCCTTGTGGAAGGCCGCTAGCTGCGCTTGCAGCAGCGTCCGTCGTCCGGGGTCGTCCTCTTGTGCCTCCAACACGAGGTCAGCCCCTTTGCGGATCTCCGTGTCACCCCAAACATCATCCGAGAACTGGTTTAGGGGGCTCAAAAGCCACCCGAACACTTGGAGGGGGGTTGTGCAACTTCCCATCCCACCTCCTCGCGATAATCCGCTTCACGTCGACCATGAATGCCGACCGATCCTTTGACTCGAGCAGTTTTGTCTTCTTCACAAAGAAGGTGGCTGCGATAGGGGGATTGGGGTGGTGGGCGTGCACGAGATGTGGTACGCGGGTCATACAATGGGAGTACAGCCACAACGCAAACCCCTAGGCTAAAGGTAAGAACAGAGAGTGCGTCGCTTACCGGCCGCGCTTGCCGCCTCGTTGGTCTTCATGGTGGCCTCAAGCATGAGACCATACAACTTGCCCATGAGCAGCGACCGCTTGTCCACTGCTCGCAGCACCTCATACACTAGAAGCATGAGGCGGAGGACGACGTTCACCGACTCCCAAAACGTGTCCTCCAACATCAGCTTCCGGATCTCGCGGCCCTCGTCAGTCCCCGAGGCCGCCACCCTCTTCCATTCGGTGCTTATCACCATCCGCTGCAACTGCTCCTTCACCACAAGGAACCGCATGATCATGATCACCTTGGTTCCAAACCGCGTGGTTCCGGGCTTGACAAGCTAGAGCTCGCTGAAGATTTCTCTAAAGAGAGTAACGGCTGAGGCGCTGTTTTTAACCATCATCACCACTCGCTGTGCCTCCGACAGCACCTTGTTCACGACTTTAATCCTCCCCATGTTGTGCAACATGAGGTCCAAACAATGAGCAGCACAGTTGGTGAAGAACACGGCAGGAAAGCCGTCCTTCAGAAGGGAGGCGGCTTTCTTTATGTTACTTGCGTTGTCCATTACAACCTGGACAACGTACCTGTCACCAACCTCGCAAATTCCACGGCGGATCAAGCCCGCAAAGAAATCCCCATTTTTCTTGGCGGTCTTCGAGTCCACCACGTCAACGAGCACGGGCCTGCTGTCATTCTGCGCGATGACACACACGAGGGCCTGGCTCTTCAAGCAAGACCAACCGTCGACTGAGATGCTGCAGCCGACGGTTCTCCAGGTGTCCGTCAGGGGCGACACCAAGTCATTGGTGTCGGCCTTCAGCTTCTGCAGTAGGGGTCCAGAAACCATATACGCGGGGGGAAGCTTGTATTGCTTCCCGAACGCGATAGTGGCGTTCACGAACGCCTGCAATGCCGGGGACCTGGTGGGAACAGGAAAGTGGATCTTAGCGCGATTCCAGACTTGGAGGCGGAATGCCTTAGACCAAGAGCCCACAAAGCTTGGCGGACATAACTGGGGGGTGGGTGGATGGGGAGGGACTCACTGGGAACAACGAAATGCCCAGTCGTTTTCCGCCACCGCCGTCGCCCACAGTTAATCCAGTCGCTGCCGCCCTTGCTGGTCCGTCAGCTCGCGAATGTCGAGCTGACCGCCGCGCGGAGCCTGCGTCCCGTCGACGGTCGACGTGGAGCCCGGAATCGAAGTCGAGCAAGAAGAGGAGCGCACTGCCTCACCCTTGGCGTGCAGATTCTGCGCAAATGCTGAGGTGCAGGCGGCGATGTTCTTCACTTTCACAGCAGGGGTGCCGAACATATGCTCCTGAATTCTTGTCGCATTGGCCGTCACTGGCTGGTGGCAGTGAATGCACTCCGTCTTCAAAAGCCAGCCCTCGTCATTATAAAATCGCTTCACGTGCTCCCACATGGGAGAAGGGGTGTGCGGCATGGCGGCTAAGCTACGACGGGCTCGCTTGTCCTGAAAGTACACACTCGTTGCGTGGGAGAATGACCAGGGAAGAAATTCTGTAGCTACCTAGCTTAGATCGATGCGGGAATTCAGACACGAGTACTCACCTCTGCAGATGTGCTCCACGTTTGTAAGTGAGCGACATGTGTGGAGTCGTCAGAGACGTTTGAGAAAGCGGAGGGGAGGGATGCAAATTGGCGGGGGGGTGGAATTTCCGCGACGTGACGCCGTCGCATGCGTGTCGCACTGTGCGAAATATACCCCTTTTGCCGCGGATCTGTACACCACATTGTTGGCAAAGCGGGAGTATCATTCGCAACGGTGTTGCGAACTGGGTTCGATGTGGAGCTCGTCAGTTCGTTTGATGCCCTCAGACACATTTCACAACGACATGATTGCAACATTTTGCACACAACGAATTCGATTCGGTAAGAAACATCGACTCGATATACGTCGTCTACATGTTGGTGCAAAAAATACGATCGAAAAAAACGATCGTATTTTTGCACCAGCACAAAAAGCACACACTGACCGTTTTTAACCGTATAATACGGCCGAAACCTACTGATCCGTACCATACAGTCCAAATTTGAAAAAAACTTCGTTTTTTTGCGCCTTGAGCAGAGGGGCAGAGGAGCGGAGTGGGATGACGCAGTGGGAGAGGAGAGGAGCGGAGGAGGAAAGGAGCGGCAGAGCAGAGGAGCGGAGGAGGAGAGGAGCAGAGGAGGAGAGGAGCAGAGGAGGAGAGGAGCAGCGGAGCAGAGGAGCGGAGGAGCAGAGGAGCGCCGGAGGAGAGGAGCGGCGGAGCAGGGGAGCGGACGAGCAGAGGAGCGAAGGAGCAGAGGAGCGGAGGGGCAGAGGAGCGGAGTGAGATGGCGCAGTGGGAGAGGAGAGGAGCGGAGGAGGAGAGGAGCGGTGGAGCAGAGGAGCGGTGGAGCAGAGGAGCGGAGGAGCAGAGGAGCGGAGGAGGAGAGGAGCGGAGGAGGAGAGGTGTGGAGGAGGAGAGGAGCGGCGGAGGAGAGGAGCGGAGGAGCAGAGGAGCGGAGGAGGAGAGGAGCGGCGGAGCAGAGGAGCGGTGGAGCGGCGGAGGATAGGAGCGGAGGAGGAGAGGAGCGGAGGAGGAGAGGAGCGGAGGAGGAGAGGAGCGGCGGAGGAGAGGAGAGGAGGAGCAGAGGAGCGGAGGAGGAGAGGAGCGAGGAGGAGAGGAGCGGCGGAGCAGAGGAGCAGAGGAGCAGAGGAGCGGCAGAGGAGAGGAACGGCGGAGCAGGGGAGCGGAGGAGCAGAGGAGCGGAGGGGCAGAGGAGCGGAGTGGGATGACGCAGTGGGAGAGGAGAAGAGCGGAGGAGGAGAGGAGCGGCGGAGCAGAGGAGCGGAGGAGCAGAGGAGAGGAGGAGGATAGGAGCGGAGGAGGAGAGGAGCGGCGGAGGAGAGGAGCGGAGGATCAGAGGAGCAGAGGAGGAGAGGAGCGGAGGAGGAGAGGAGCGGCGGAGCAGAGGAGCGGAGGAGCAGAGGAGCGGCAGAGGAGAGGAATGGAGGAGGAGAGGAGCGGAGGAGGAGAGGAGCAGAGGAGGAGAGGAGCGGCGGAGGAGAGTAGCGGAGGAGCAGAGGAGCGGAGGAGGAGAGGAGCGGAGGAGGAGAGGAGCGGCGGAGCAGAGGAATGGCGGAGGAGAGGAGCGGCGGAGCAGGGGAGCGGACGAGCAGAGGAGCGGAGGATCAGAGGAGCGGAGGGGCAGATGAGCGGAATGCGGTGACGCAGTGGGAGGGGAGAGGAGTGGAGGAGGAGAGGAGCAGCGGAGCAGAGGAGCAGAGGAGGAGAGGAGCAGAGGAGGAGAGGAGCGGAGGAGGAGAGGAGCGGCGGAGCAGAGGAGCGGAGGAGCAGAGGAGCGGAGGAGGAGAGGAGCGGAGAAGGAGAGGAGCGGAGGAGGAGAGGAGCGGCGGAGGAGAGGAGCGGAGGAGGAGAGGAGCGGAGGAGGAGAGGAGCGGAAGAGGAGAGGAGCGGCGGAGCAGAGGAGCAGAGGAGCAGAGGATCGGCGGAGGAGAGGAGAGGCGGAGCAGGGGAGCAGACGAGCAGAGGAGCGGAGGAGCGGAGGAACAGAGGAGCGGAGGGGCAGAGGAGCGGAGTGGGATGACGCAGTGGGAGAGGAGATGAGCGGAGGAGCAGAGGAGCGAAGGAGCATGGGAGCAGGGGAGCATGGGAGGATGGGAGCACGGGCCCATGGGAAGGGAGCATGGGAGAAGTGGAGCATGGGAGCATGGGAGCATGGGAGCATGGGATGATGGGATCATTGACGCACAGGCCCATGGGAGCATGGTGAGCTTGGGAGCATCTGAGCATGGGAGCATTGGCAGCATGTGAGCAGGGGAGCATGGGAGCATGGGGAGCACGAGAGCATTGGAGCATCGGAGCATGGGAGCATGGGAACAGGGGAGCATGGGAGCATGGGTGCATGGGCATGGGAGCATGGGAGCATGGGAGCATGGGAGCACGGGAGCATGGGAGCATGGGAGCATGGGAGCATGGAAGGATCCGAGTATGGGAGGATGGGAGGATGGGAGCACGCTCCATTTTGAGCATGGGTGTAAGGGGAGCATGGGTGCATGGAAGGATGGGACCATGGGCCCATGGGTGCTTGGGAGTAAGGGGAGCATGGGAGCATGGGAGTATGGGAGGATGGGAGCACCGGAGCATGGGAGCATGGGAGGTGCAGCGAGCTTGC